TACCAAAATTTGGTTATCTGTCTTACTCGATTGGCTTGGTAATTAATATGTCTGGTTCGTATTTCTTTTGGTCATTACAACTGGCGTTGTATGGGAGAAAAAAAAATTCAACTTAAGTAAATAAATGATCTCTCATAACGATTAACAAGGGGTTTGGAGAAGAAGAGCATAAATAAAATAAGAGAAAAGAGAGAGCAGAGAAATAATAAAAGGAAAGAGAAAAAATTATGAGAAAAGAGCAGTGTGTGAGGCTTATACAATTACACCTAACTTACATATATAAACACAAAGTACTAAAATACAATTAAGCTAGAAATAGAGCATAACATAACCCATAACACTCCCCTTCAAATTTGCGCATAGATCTCCCATGTTCAACTTTCAAACAATGGGATGAAAAACCTTACTACTAAGCCCCTTTGTGAAGACATCAGCTAACTAATTCTCTGATTTCACAAAGGGCATGCAAATCAAGCTCTAATTCAAATTTTTTAATGAAGTGTCAATCAATTTCAACATGTTTAGTTCTATTATGTTGAACTAAATTATGGGCAATGTTGATAGCAACCATATTGTAATAGTAAAGTTTCGTAGGTCTATCATAATGAATTCTCAACTCTCCCAACAAGATTTGGAGTAACATAAGTTCACAAATTCCATAGGTCATTACTCTATATTCCACCTCGACAATGGAACCGGCAACCATTGCTTATTTTTTACTTCGCCGTGTGAGATGGTTTTATCCTATCAAGGTGCAATAGTCTAAAGTAGATTGTTTGTCATCCACTGAACCTATCCAGTTTGCATCATAGAATGCCTCCAAAATCAAGTGACCATTTGGAGAACAAGATCCCTTTTTTTTTGGAGCAAACTTGAGATACTTCAAAATGTGATAAACAACTTTAAAATGGGGGATTCAAGAATCATGTATGAATTGACTGACAATACTCACTGCATAAGCAATATCTGATCGAGTATAAAAGAGGTATATCAAGTTTTTCACCGGTCTCTGGTACCTCTCCTTATCTACTATATCACCAATAGTACCACTCAGTTGATGGTTGACTTCAATAAGAGAATCTATCAGTCTATATCCTAAGTTCCTAACATACATGTTTCTTCAAGAAGGTTAAGAACATACTTTCTCTAAGAGATAAAAATTCTTTTATCTGATCTGGCAACCTCAACCCCAAGAAAATATCACCTAGGTTTTGATTTCAAACTCTTTGACCAATTGAACTTTAGTTTTGGTGACTTCATGCCCAGTATTCCCAGTTATCACTATGTCATCGACAAATGTAATAAGGATTGTAATCTTGTCATCAACCTGTCTAATGAACATAGTATGATCAACATAACTCAGTTTATACCCAAATTTTAGCATAGTTTTGAAAAGCTTATCAAACCAAGCTATGGTATGTAGACTGATAGATTCTTTTATTGAAATCAAAGACACACCATTTATGCACATAAGGCTAAATGTATACACATGTGGTCCCAAAGACCTCAAAATCATAAATACATATATGGCTGGTACCAATGATCAAAAAATTTTTTCGGCTCATTATTTTGGTCACCTAAGAAAAGGAAACGTTTCGACGTGTTTCGGAAACATTTCAATCTGTTTCAAAAACATAATGAAAAAAATAAAAAATTTAAGAATTATTTTTTCAAAACATTAGTTTCGACATACCAAAATATCTTGAAATATTCCGAAATAATTGTGCAAATGCATAGAAATCTAACAAAACATTTTGAAACATTATGGAACGCCTCAAAGTATTAGAATTTCGATTTCATCATTAATTCGTTTCGATCTCCTTCGAAACATAAACGTTTCAAATATTTCGACCGTTTCGAAACGATATTTTGATCATTGGCTGATAGAATACAAGGATCAATTTTTAAAACACATAATGACATTTTTATCAAATCATCATAATATAGTTCAAAGTGTAAATTTATCAATTTCTTAAATAGAGCTTCATCATATTATAGAAGACATATTTCTCGAACAACATTCTCATGGAACATAATTCAGTTGCATGAGAATTCAAGTTTATCAAAAACATTTATTTTTCATAAATCTAAGGATTTCAAAAATTGGCATTTTATCAAGACCACGATAATATTGTAATCCACTCACCCAACCAAACTATATATTGTCTAGCAAGCATCAAACTCTAGAGTTGTCCTTGGTGTTAGTTCTTCCACTATGGTATACTAAGATGAATATGTACAATTTAAACTAATAGCAATGGGGTGCTACATGATATGCATGGATATGAATGAATCCAAAATTATTTCAATCTTGGCACCTTAAGTTATTTTGGTAATTTTATACGAATCAAAAATCTGGTTTCCTTAATTGGAAACATTTACTTAAGTTTTACATAAGAAATTATGCTCCCTTTCAATTATAATTATCATTCAATATGAATTCCTTAGAAACATTCAGTGTACGTATTTAATCGAGGCAAAAATCATTTTTATTAGCCACACTATTTATGCTAGTAGAGTTTATTATGCTGAGGGAGGAGTCAATTAACTTATTTATAATGCTAAGATCTTGAAAAAACTAAATATGATCTCATTGGAAAGATAATAAAATTTTATGGGGGTCTTGGTGAGAGTTAGAAACTTTCAAGGGTGATCTAAGCAATTACTAAATTTTTCTTGGACAATTCTTGATTTCTAGAGCTTTATGGGTTCATTTATAATTTCTAATACTCTTTTTGGGGTATAGTTGAAAGATATCAAAACTTTTGAGGCAGTTTCATAATTTTCAAAACTATAGGGGGCTGACATGTAATTTTCAAAGCCATGTGAAGGGTGTAATTCAATTATATTAAACTTTAGGGTGGTGACTTCAAAAATTTTGGAATTTATTAGGGGCTGATTTATAATTTCTAAAACTATGTTAGGGGTATAATCAGAAATGTTGAAAATTGGTTGTGGTAATTTCAATGGGGACAGCAATATAACATTCAAAACTGTTGGGGTCTGCAGTGTAATAGTTAAAACCGAGGCTGAAATATAATTTTATAAAATTTTCTAGGGCATAAATCAAAATAATTCAAATTTTAAGGACTAAATTGTAATTTTTTTTTAAAAAATTGCAACGCCTGCATCCACATGGCAGCTATATCACCAGACTCTACTTTTATATGAAGTTAAAAGCCATGACAAGTACAACACACCTTGAATATGGGTAGTATTTTTCTTTGGTTTGATGGTGTTTGTTAGATACACATATGGTATTGTTTGAATGTTATATGCATGTATGTATAGCTTAAACAAATGTCAAACTTAGCCAAAATATCTAATACTAGTTATTGTCTGTGCCTGAAAGCACAAAGTAATAAAAAATGATAAACAATAAACATATTTGTATTCATATTCAAAATCAAATCACAAACATAGAGAAAAGATAAAGGAATTTATGCATCGATTTACCGTGGGGGTAAAAGGTGGTGATGGCGGCGGCAGCGATGGTGATGGCAGAGGTGGCAGAGATAGTGGTGGAGTGGTTTCAAATACTATTTTTTTTTTTAAAAATATTTATGAGAAATAATTTCTAAAATTACTTTTAAAAAATCACCACAAACACATCCTTAGGGGCCTATTTTTCTTATTAAATTTGGAGTATTAATATTAACCGTTAGATTAACTTTAAAGTATAATTTAAATAGATCTCAACCACGAATAACAAGTCATTTTATTTATCTTTTGATATTTGAATTGTAAGTTACTTTATTATATAGATATAAACACACGTGCATGACATGCATATATGTTAAGAGACACATGCACATCACTGCATATATTTTTATTATTCATATTATAATCATACATAATTAACAAGTGAATCTCCATGTCTTAAAAAAAAATCCTAATGTCAAATTAGTGAATGAAAAATGAAAATCAACCCATAACTTAGTTAGCTATAGAATGACTAAATTATCCTTGTCTCTATGGAACAACAAATGTTAACTCAGACTAACATTATGATGCTTCTTTTTTTTCCGACAAACACATACTTAAGGGGTTTAAGGGACTTTGCCTTCTTGAGGCCAAGGGTTCAAGTCCCTTCCCCCCTCCCCCCTCCCCTCCCATCCCACTCCCCCTCCCCCTCCCCCTCAAAAAAAAAAAAAGGGGGAGTTTAAAACAATTTAAATGTACAAGTGATCACACTCAATTTTCGACAAGAAATGACCTACAAGTGAAACACGATGGAACCATCAAATAGTTTGATATTGTATTTTTCCATTAGTTCTTGCATGAATAACTCCAAGAGCTTCCACATAATTGATTTCCTGAACAACACAACTTCACTTTGAAAAAACAACTTCACAAACATTCTCGTTTCTGCAGTAAGATTTAAAAAACTCGGATTGGGTCTCACATGCCCGCCCAAGTGAACCAAGGCAGCGGTGTCTTGTACAAGTCAATCAACAATTGACACAATTAAAAAATCCTTCATTTTTCTTTGTTAAAAGATCAAGGCTTCATGAGTGGGTTTGACAAAAACACCACACCATGGACATAAAAGTTGGCAGCTTGTGACACACATAAGATGATACCATGTGCCACCATTTTAGATCCAACAGAAGAGGGTCAAGTTAATCCTATGGTATAATCCCTAGATAAAAATAAAGTGTTTGATCAAAATAGCATGTATACTTCTTTATAGCGAAAAAGATGACCGGACAAAAGGAACGGCAGCATAAATATACCCTACATATGTCAGAATATACAACATGAGACAAAAAACACCAAAGATCAAAGAAAAAAACCTGCAGAGCAGCAGGACCAACCCTCCATGTATCAACCTGCCATTTGACTAGTCCACCAGCACTTGTAACACGCTCTCTCTCTTCAAGACAACTTGCCACATGATCCTACTAAATCAAGGTCAATAATTCATTAAAAGAGCAGTATGACACCTTGTAACTTAAATAAGACAAAGAGCACTTGTGTAAAAATAAAAAAAGCCCTTTTTATTCTACTAATAAGCTCAAATAAGCAGTAAGATGACTAAAGGTGCCCCATCTCACCCTACTTAGAGCATAGGCATTGCCGGCTCGACACAAGATTATCCTGCAATCACCAGCATTAGCAACAAAAAGCTTGTTTTGAACTACAAGAGCAGCAACAGCAGTACAACCAGGGTGCCAGTCTTTCTTGATAAATCCTTTCAATTTACGATGAGAATCCAGTTCATTCCTAAATGCAGCATCAGTCTTAAGAAATGCTTCCAGCAATGCATCAGAGGGACTGCACAGTCATAAATTACAAATAAATGCCAGATTTTTCCTTGATTCATGATACATGTATGCATAAAAGTAGAAGGATTGACAAGAGAACAAAATAAAGAAACCTGATCATGGAAACCAGACTTTGCAAAAACCCTGGTAATGCCCTGGCTGAAAATTCAGCTGCTGCTGCACCTGCATAAGAAATAGTCACATAGAGTGCCATTCAACCGCACCTTAAGAACTTGCATTAGGGTGTATCTGGGAACAACCTAAAGGAAGAATTATTCTATCACCATTAAAATATCTTCAAAAACTCATTTTGTGGTGAAATATAGATTTGTGTTTGTGAGAGTGTATGCGTTGTTAAGTAGTATGCAACTGTATATTTGTAATTGACCAAATTTTGTGAGCGACATGAGTCAAGTCGGTCGAGGGCTAGGACAAGTGATTTGAAGATCAGAGATGACTAAGCCGGTTTTCGATGAGTTATTTGGAGATTTGATTGAAGATTTCAAACTCGATTCATTGCAATCAAACACCGGTTAAGTATGGTACGTTTGACTTAGAGGCCTTAGTTGACCACATGTTTAAAATAAAAATAATATCATTTCGGACTTGACTTATGTGATTTATACTTAGCTATGTGTTTTTGATATGATAAAAGTGTTTTTAAAGTATAACTTAAGGCTAAATTATAGACCACGATCAACTGCAGCCTTTGGAGGCAAGACCGGGGTCAATTACACTCATTTTGGAAGAATACCACTAGCTAGAATGTTTGGTATTCACTAGGCACTTGAGCATAGTGCAAAGGTTCAGTTCTAGAAAACTCCAGTAATTGACGCTTGCTTCTCGCTCACCAGGATGAGGCTGCTAGAGCGATTGCAGTGTATCAGACTTTGGATCTTTCCTAACTTGGCTAGGATCCCTTCCAAACTTAGTTTAGGGTCGGCCCACTATATTTGCTAGACCAAAAAACGTCTAGGAGGACCAAAGAAAGACCGAAGAGAGAGAGAGACCTAAAGCATATGTTCAAATCTTTGTTTTACAAATCAAAAGTAGTCTTGGTATTTTTTTACTAGTGATTTAGGCAGAAATTCTTGTTTGATCCAAAGCCTTTTTCAAGAGTTTCGTGTGAACACGTAGTCAAATTTTCAGTGATTGCCTTGAGTTTCGATGCACATAAAATCCTAGACAAAATAAGTTAGACATAAAGAGAGATTCAAGTCATATCATGGCAAAGCGAAAAGTTATCAATTATATGCTGCAATTCAATGACATCTCCTCAGCCCCACTTGACCAGGTTGTCCACGACATCTTTGAAACAAACACAAGTCAATTGAGACTCATGATTGCACAAATGATGTATCAGTCTTCAAATACAATTGGTCCAAGTTATATTGGTACAGCTGATTCTTTAAACCAGGGTTCCCTCCTCTTCCTATGTTACTTTTACCTAGTCGAACATTGCTCTGACTTGTTTAATGTCTTCCACTCACGGTCACTGGATTATTCACTCTGGCACATGATTGGTTTGTCTAGTCCAGTGTCTTATCTACTTATCCATCTGTAACCCCTTCTCAAGTTGTTACTTTGGCTCACGGATCCTCATCTAAAGTTTCAAGTTTGAGGAACACTCTTGAGTCCTACCATATCTTTATCATGTGTTCTATCCATTCCCCAATTTTCCTTCAAGTTGATATCTATGGACTAGGTTACTAAATCTCTAAACTATTCTTTAACCTTTTATCCATCTTTTTGAGCGTTTCAGGATCTTTTTATCCATGTCGTTGATCTTTATTATTTTTATTTTGAGTCAATTTCCAAAGCCTTCAATCATCCTTATCTCTATTTTAGTGGCTTTTCCATTTGGGCCACTCGTCTCTCCTGGGTTTGCAACGTCAGCCCAATCCTAGTTATGTGTCCGTATTTTTCGTTTTGATAATGGAAGAGGATATGACACCGAGCCCTTTGACTCTAATGTTTGTGAAAAGGGGATTGTTTATCAAACTTCTTATGTTCACACCCACAAAAAAAGAGGTGACAAACCATAAAAACTGACATTTGTTAGAAGAAACTAAAGCATTTATTCTCATATGCATGTTCCCTAATATTTTTCGAGCTATTTAAATGTTTGTTATCTCATCAATCACACATATCCTACTCATTAAATCCTTGTTCCCTAGTCTCTCCTTACTTCATATGTCTCCCATGATCTTAGGGTGTGTTTGCTATGTTCACAACGTAGGACCTTGTTTTGACAAACTTGACCCTCATGCTATAAAGTGTATTTCTAGGATACTCTTGTACCTAGAAATATTATTGTTGCTATAGTCCTATGCCTTGACGTCATTTTACTAGCTTCAATGTTATCTCTTTTGAGTTTGTCCCATATTTCTAGGCTTTTACATCTCCTCATAATCTTGACTTTAGGACGACTCCTTCATTGCCTTCGCCACCCCTTTTCCAATTACCATCTGTCCCTTCAGAACCCTTAGATGGCGGTAATATTAATTGGAAATGGACATCTCATTCCTAGTAATGAGATTCCCAGATTTCAATTACCACGATAATCTCATAATTATTGTTTGATTATTGTTAGTGTAGTAAATGAAAGAATATCTTTTTAATTTTATTTTAGGACTGAACTTAACTTTAGAATTAAGTTTGATCTAGGAAGAGAGCTTAATTTAAGGAATGAAGTTAATTTTGGAAATGAGATTGATTTTAGATTTTGATTCCTTTTTTAGAATACCAAATCAAGGTAGGTATTAGATTTCCACCATTGAGCTTTTTATATCCACTATCAATGCGAATTTGATTACCATAGTAATGGTATTCCCTGTTAGATTACGAAATAGTTGACTATCCAAACATGGTAATCAAGAGATTTAGGAATGAGATTCTCATTCCCAATCAAGTTTACTGTCATCCAACCAATGCCTTAGTGTCTCCCCCAACATGTCTCCTCTCATAATTTGTGACCTTGTTACTGGTGAACTCTCATTGCTTGAAGCCATGCCCCTTTCGTCTTTCTGTCATCTTCTTATTCAAATCCTTCTATTGCTTTGGACTCATTATTGCTCTAAGCAAAAGTACACAATCTAGTATTATTATCCATCTTATTAGTCATTTTGTTTCTTAGGCTGCTCTATCACCGGGTTTGTCTTGTTTTATAGCACAACAATTTACTATTTCCATTCTTAAGACATTCTCGAGGGGTTCTCAAATCCGGGTTAGAGGAAAGGTATGGACGTAAGGATGGATATAATACATGATGATAGAACTTGGGATCTTGTCCTGTCACGCCATTTTAAGAGGCATGTTGGTCATCATTGTTATCTTTGAAACGCAACCCTCATGATTCCATTGAACATCTAAAAGCCTGACTTGTCGCTAAGGCATTCACCTCTAAACAAATTCCTTCATGGTCCGAATTGCCTAACAATAATCTCCATGATATTCAAAATTACCTTTTCCTCCACAATTTGTTGTAATATAGAGCATGAGATTGCTTTAGGTAACGAATTATAAAAGGAAATTTCCACACTACACAAGGATTTAACCGTACTGCTGGTATTACAATACATATTCCTTGATCCAAACTCCTATGTCTCAAGTATCTTGTTTCTCTAACAATATCAATCATGAACAAACTTTATGACCCGGAACTTCGAAAGTGAGCTAGGAAACTAGGAGGAAGGAATAGGGAAGATTAAAAAAAGAAGTGAAGAACAAAGATGTATGCGAAACTATAGAGATATAATTGTCTGGTACGAGTGAAAGGGGAATGCAAAGAAACTGAGAAGGAAACTGGGAGGCTTTCACTCCAAAATCCACCAAGATGAAGGAGGGAGTAATTCACTCCAAACACCCGCTAAAACCTTACCCCCTGAAGAGAGAGAAAAGGTACAGACCTCTTCTTTTCTTAAACTGTTCCCCATAAACATGGAGGAAATAGAAAATAAAAGAACTTGTTTCTAATAAGAAAATGTATTATGTTCAATTCACAGAACACCACTTCATTTTTTCCCCTCTCCTTCCTGCTCAACTAACCAAAAGGAAGGAAAGGTTGCCTCTTTCACAAGTATACATCCTTCATCCCATTCCCAGTGGTTCTCCATTCCTTGTACCAAAGGACTTATGAGTCAGAATATTTTATTATTCCTTGAGTTTGGTCCCAGATACACCATTAAGATTGAAAGTACATCATCTTATTCAGCACCTCTATGACCATCAAAGACTCCAAACGCATGGATATTCTTTTCATTGCACATATTCGGCATAAGGAAGTGTGTGTCCTCCATAGATTCCCTCCTCCCACAAGTAGAGAAGGAACCCCATGATAGCACTGGACAGTATGCCAAAGGATCATTTGAAGAATCAAACCCAATTCTCACCCCAGAACCTGGGGCAGGAGAAACTCTCTTTGAGAAATACTCCCCCTGGGAAAACCAATTAATACTCTCTTGAAAAATTCGACGGTTTGCGGTATCCTTGTCACCAGGAGAGAGAGAAGGTTCAGGGAGGACCTTTTCCTCATCTTTCACTCTATTTCTGGTCTCCAAAATGGAATCAAGTGCCACCATTATATCATCAAAAGATGGCCTTTTTAGAGGATTACCATCCCAACATCGTTGTATCAAAGGGAGTAAACTTGCTGGCGCACCCAACTCAAGATCAGCAAGAATAGGGCGGAGCCCCTCAGACACCACAGCTGCTGTAAGTTGCTGCGCAGTGTAGTTCATTTCCAGCACAGTGTGGGCCTGCCAGCAGGTCATATCATGCACAAATAAGCGGTGAAAAAGTGTACGTGATGAGTGAACAATGAATATTAAGATAGGAACATCAAGAAAAGAACATAAATTATGTAAAGCAAACTGTATTTGTATGATCTGGATGTGGAATTGTTAATGAGAAACTAAACTTTGCCCAACCCGTTTCCAATAATTCCGCAAAGAATAAAATCCCAAAGGAAGTCTAATCTGTCGTACAGACAAAATATCAATTACTTGTGCTCAGGTGCCACCATGAAAACATAGAACGAAATATAGGGGTTGCATTTTAACTAAATAAGTTAAGAGGCCCTAAGAGATCTGTGAACAGGTGCATATATATGATAACAGCAACAAATCAATGCTCGGGAGCACGTAGGTAATGAATGGCAACAAATATGGGGAATGACATGTGAAGTAAAGAGACAGATTTAAGAGAGAGCATATT